GCTCTAACTTTCTAGTAGGACATACAAATTAACCAATTCACCAACTACAATATATTTAACAACATTTACAATAATCCCAACTATTCTAACTGGCCAGCACCTCAAGAGCTTTCGATCTATTTGTACACCAGAGATTCGATAAGTTCTTCGCTGCCCAGACACCACTTATAGTGAACTAGAGGGCAGAATTTACACCAATACCCTTTTAGTCCATTACACTATCAATAATCTAGTGGCTGGATTTACAACAGAGCACACTTAGTTAAGATAGGGTGATATCTAGCAAACGATAATATACAACAGAGTCTGCTTAATTTCGCCGATCTCCCCGACCTAGCAACCAAAATTTACACCTAGCATGCTAGTCAAAGCAGGACATCGGTGTCTGACATGAGCTATTTACACCAGAACTCAGTCTGACAATACCACCATATTAGACGGGCTGACTACAGAGCGTCTAATGTCCAGATAAGAGTTGCGCCTTCGCTTCTTCCTTCCAAAGGGAAGGGGCCAATTCCAATAACCGGTTCCAAATATAAAACCCTTTGTGGGTCTACCGCTCTAACGGTATCAGTCTTACCTGTTAGTTCCTGGCCCTGGGTTCACACCTTGATACACAGACACATACAAGCACAGATACACACACTTTGAAACATAGATACACGCACCTTGACACACAGATTCATAAATACATACACACACAGATACACACTGTGTGTCAAGGTGTGTGTATCTGTCAGTGTGTGTATCTGTGTGCCACTATCTGCCAGTGTGTGTATCTGTGTGTCAGATTCATACACACTAAAAAGATGATTGTAGGAACCGCACTCATACCGGTGCTCTGGAACAGGACTAGCAATCCCAATACGTCAAGGCAAAAAAAGAAATCTCCAGGCACTCTAGTGTTAAAGCCGCAGACAGATTTTAATGGAACAGAAAGAGCAGCAACGTTTCGACCTCCACAGAGGTCTTTTTCAAGCTAACACCACAAACCAAACATAAGTGCATATATGGCAAGAAATGCCAAAAAACAATAATTCACTTAAGTGAAAGTCATTAACGCAAATTAATAAAACAAACAGTACAAGTAATGCACAATGTATCTATAGATCTACTATATACAATAATCTATAACTTACCCCTATGTGCCAAAGGAGGGAGAGACCAAAAATAAAACAATAGAAAAAATAGAAATAAAAATAAAAAGCTTACAATGAATAAAGCTTGTCTGAGCGCTAGAAAGTCATTTCCGGTTAATTGGACAGCAGAAGAGCTTCTGGAACGCAAAGGGACCACCCCTTCTACAGATCGATGAAAGTGCCAAACCTAATATCAGTTCATGTGTCCAAACACACGAACAGAAACAAGGAAAAGTACAGAAATGCGCACGAACGGGTTCATACACACTGGCACATACAAACACAGACACACACACCTTGATACACAGACACATTCAAACACAGATACACACATTTTGACACACAGATACACACTGGGTGTGTATCTGTGTGCCAGTGTGTGTGTGAGTCTGTGTGTCAGATATGCAACTGGCACATACAAGCAGGGCCGCAATCAGGGGATGAAAACCATGACGGTTGTCACGGGCCCGGGCCCCACTTTCCCTCTCTGCACATATATACAGCGATAATCACTATATATATGTGCAGCCACGGGCCCCCAGCTCCCTGTATTTACAGAGGGGGCCCAGCAGACTGCAGGTGTACTTTACATCTCTTCCCTCTCTCTAACTCCAGCGAAATCTGTGGCCGTCAGAGCGTTGCCACGGGTTACCATGGCAACGCTCCGCGGCACGCACATCATGCTCGCGGGAGTTAGAGGGAAGAGCTGTAAAGTACACCTGCAGTCTGCTGGGCCCCCTCTGTAAATGTTGATACACTACAGGGGCGGACTGACCGGTCGGGCACTTCGGACACGGTCCGAGGGCCCGGCCGGGAGGGGGGCCCGCCGCCAGGGCCGCCTTCAGGGGGCCCGGTGGCAGGGCTGGATTGGGGGCGGCATTTGGGGACTGCGGAACAAGGTGCCACCGGGTGGCCGGTCCGGTGGCACACTGTGAGGGGGGCGGCCGCGTTTCATGCTGGAGCCGCCGGACCGGGTGGCAGCCTTGCCGGTCCGGCGGCATTCCTCTCACTAACACTGAAGAAGAAGGAGGAGGAGCATGTTCATCATGTTTCTCGGCGTTCCCTACAATTCCAGATGTGGAACCAAGAAAGGAGCATGATAGACATGCCCTCCACCTCCTTCTTCAGTAAGTGTTAGTGAGAGGAATGTCACTGACCGGGTGAGGCTAACTGCCTGGCTGCAGCATGAAATAAGGCCGGCCCCTGACCTTAGTAGTAAGAGGGGGAAACAGAGATATGGGAGGGGGAGAGATGGGGAGGGGGGGCAGAAAAAGAGGGGGCAATGGAGAGATGGGGAGGGGGGGGACAGAGAGATGTGGAGGGGAGGGAAAGAGGGGGGCAGAGAGATGGGGGAGGGAGGGAGAAAGAGGGCAATAGAGAGATGGGGAGGGGGGGAGAGGGGGAACAGAGAGATGGGGAGGAGGGAGAAGAGTAATAGGAGAGAGAAGGGAGGGGAGAAAGAGGGAACAGAGATGGGAGGGAGGTTGACGGGGACAGAGAGATGGGGAAGGGGCTAAAGGGGGGCAAGAAGAGATGGGGAGAAAGAGAGGGAAGAATGAGACACAGGGGGAGACAGAGACAGAGAGGGAAGAATGAGACACGGGGAGAAAGAGGGGGAATAGAGAGATGGGGAGGGGGAGAAAGAGACAGAGAGGGAAGAATGAGACACAGGGGGAATAGAGAGATGAGGAGGGGGGAGACAGAGAGGGAAGAATGAGACACGGGGAGAAAGAGGGGAATAGAGAGATGGGGAGGGGGAGAAAGAGACAGAGAGGGAAGAATGAGACACGGGGAGAAAGAGGGGGAATAGAGAGTTGGGGGAGGGGGGAGAAAGAGAGGGAAGAATGCCCCCCCCCCTGCGGACAGGGGAGGAAGAGAGGACCTGGGAGCTCACCCTGCAGCTCCTCTGGGTCCTTCTTGCGCGAGCACAGAGCGTTGCCGCGGTCACCATGGCAACGTTACTGCTCTTGCGAGAGTCAACTCTAGCCCTGGAGCTACGGGCTAGAGTTCACTCTCAACACTGTAACCCCCATGGATTCCTGGTGGTCGCAGTGGTGAGAGTGAACTCTAGCCCCATAAACACACTGCCCCCACACACACACCATACACATTCACACACTGCCCCCATATACACCATACACATTTACACACATTGCCTCACACACACACATACACTGCCCACCCATATACACACAGACCCCCATACACAGCCCCCCATACTAACATTGCCACACACATACACAGCCCACACACCCTACACATTCACACACTACACCCCACACACACACTGAACCTTTCACACACATTGCACCACTACTCCTATTCCCTACTACAGCCCCATATCCCAGCAGATCCCAGGTAAGTTGTCAAACTGTTCTTAAATGGTTTGACTACTTACTCTGGAGCAGTAGTGGTTATTGTGCATGGATTATTTCTTTAAATAATCTACAAGTGCCCCAGTAGCCAGCCAGCCCACAGGCCGGCCAGCCAACCCACAGGCTGGCCAGTAGCCAGCCAGTTAGCCAGCCCACAGGCTGGCCAGTAGCCAGCCAGTTAGCCAGCCCACAGGCCAGTAGCCAGCCCACAGGCCTACAGCAAGCCACAGGCTTACAGCCAGCAAGCCACAGCCTGCCAGCTGCAGCCTGCCAGCCGCAGTCAGCAAGCCCACAGCCTGCCGGCAGTAGCCAGCAAGCCCACAGCCTGCCAGCCGCAGCCAGCAAGCCCACAGACTGCCAGCCAGCAACAGTAATTAAGGTAAGAGGAGCCAACTTGGCTTAGGTATCAGCGAGCTATGTTGTGTTGCTATATTGTGAATAGGAACTAGAGTGTTGGAGAGACCACCCTCCAGGCCCCATTAGACTCTAGCCTCTGCTAGAAATCCCCTCCATGGCCCATTAGCCCTCAATTGTAGTTTCTACTGGGGCCTGGAGGCGACTGTTTCCAGCAGGGTATATCTAATGGACGCTGAGATGGCCTCTGTTAGAAAGACCCCCTTCCAAGCCTTTTAGACTCCATTGTAGTCTCTAATGGGGCTTGGAGGGGATTCTATCTAACACACTCTGAAAAGGACACTGAGATAGCCTCCGCTAGAAAGACCCCCCTCCATGGCCCATTAGCCCTCAATTGTAGTCTCTACTGGGGCCTCGAAGGGCTTATTGCCCTTTTGTTCCTTGTGTCTAAAGATTGTGTAGGGTGTGGCTGGAGGCAGTGCATGGAGGCGGGACAAGGGTGGTGCTTGCTGCAGAGTATGGGTGGGGCCTGTAAGGGGCCCTTGATTTATTTTGCCCGGGGCCTGAGGGTTCTCAGTCCGCCCCTGATACACTATGTCAAAGGGTTCCACAGAAAAATTAATTGGGAACCCCTGCTCTAGTAGCTGTCTGGTAGACAGCCACTAGAAGAGTTAACCCTCAGAGGTAATTATTACAGTTTATAAAAACTGCAATAATTACCACTGCAGGGTTAAGGGTGATGGGAGTCAGCACCCAGACCATTTAAATGAGCTGAAGTGGTCTGGGTGCCTACAGTGTCCCGTTAAGGTAAAGGACTGGCGAAATCAAACACACAGCAATCAATAGGTAAAGTGATAAGTCACCTAAATATTCTGTTTAATACTGCGCCTCCACCATGAGCTAATTAAAATGTTGGGACATACAGAAGTATGGAAATAAGAAAACAGAATAAGGATGTGACTGAGGTTATTATGCATTATCCAACACACACTGTTACTTTCCCGTTTGCTTCCTTCCGCCCAAGCAATCACGTTGACTCTGTGCCCCCTCCCTGACTCTTTATTACCGATCGCGGTGCAGTTTGACCCCTCTCAGTTTCCTTCACTCTGTCGCAGCGTGTTGACGTCAGCGAGCGTCATCTCCCGGGTTGCGGAAAATGGCGGAGGCTCTACAGGAACCCGGGCGGTACTTCTGTCACAACTGCTCGGTTGAGATCAGCCCCCGGTTCCCGGTGAGACAGAGGGGATATTTCGGTAGTAGAATTAGAGGTCAGGGTGGATAAGAGGTTGAAAACCCCACTAACCATGCTGGCTGGGTTGTCATTGAGTTTCACGTCAAGATGCTCGGTGGAATGGGCTAATCTCCGGGTAATGGTAAAAACGGAGAAGGGGGTTATCTACGCTGTGGAAGCCAGTTTGTCCTTTCATTTCGGTGTGTCATACCAACCCACTTCCCAAGTAAAACGGACAACGTCTAAAGTGATGGCTAGTAATTTGTACAGTTCGTAAGGCGCACAAGAGAAATAAACTGACTATCTGGGAAAGCACTATCATATTTTAGAGAAGGGGTAGGCAAAGCAAGTGTTTCAGATTCCACCCACTGTAAGGTAAATCATTTCTATATACAATGTTGCTACCTAATAATATGCAGTACAGGCTATAAATTACAAATTGACCTGCTTATAGCACACCTCCCAAGTGCCCCTGTTTAGTAGCAGATTCTATTTTGGGCTCAAGTCTCTTATTCCCTCTTTGTAGGAGCTCCTGTTTGAATGACATATCTACGGCAATAATAGTTATTAATAGTTATTAACGTGTATGTGTCATTAAATAGACTATCAGTGACTGGGATCTTTTCTTATTTTTTGGGGAAAAAAAACCTAAAAGATCAACTGGGCATCCATTAAGTACTGGGGAAAGTGAATTTTACTTGCCTGAAGCTGTCCCGTAGACGCAAGAGTACAACACTTAGGTCATTGTTGGCGATTGCAGGATCCTCCATTGATAATATGCACCCCCATCATCTTTGGAAATGTACTTTAACAAAGGAGTTCATACTTTCTCTTAATATATCTCTTGAATGCACAGTCATTGTAATTCCTAAAGATTTTATCTTTCTTAAACACTTGTTTTGGAGGTGTAGTGAGGGAGCCACTTTAAACCACAATAAGTGTGTGGAAATCTTTCTGTGTAAACAAGATACATTGTTCTTGTTCTAAATGTGCATTTTTGTTGCATAGATTATTAGTAAGTCACCTGACATTTCTCAAGATCAGCCCTGCCACTGCATTGAATAATTCTTTCCTATGGGGAGGTCTAATGCGTGCACGGCCATTGCGCTGCATGAGCATTAGGTCTCGTCCGCCGGCTGACGTCGGCAAGGGAGGAGCATGGACAGAGCCTGACCCAGCGCCGAGGGACATGGCGCTGGACTCAGGTAAGTCACTGAAGGGGTTTTAACCTTTTCAGCGGGATGAGGGGGGGCACACTGCAGGTTTCTGCAGTGCCAGGAAAACTGATTTTTCTTCCTGGCACCGGAGAGTCGCTTAAACCTGCATGGTAGCTAGCTAGTTAAAAATGAGTTTACTTACCCTCCATCATCACAGACAATCTAATTGAAATAGTGGGGTTTTACTATTTTAGGTAAGTGCCTCTAGCGCTGTCACTAGATGCAGATTAACCACACACTGTGAACCTTACAACAGAGATGTTTTCAGCTGGAGGGTTAAAATGGATGGAGGGAACATGGCACCCAGACCGTTTAAAGGACCACTATAGTGCCAGGAAAACAAACTTTTTCCTGGCACTATAGTGCCCTGAGGGTGCCCCCACCCTCAGGGTCCCACTCCCGTGGCGCTGAAGGGGAAGGAAGGGGTTAATCCCTTAGCTTTTTTCTGGCGCTGGGACTCTGCTCCCTCTTCTGATGTCATCGGTTGAATGCACATGCGCGGCAAGAGCCACACGCATTCAGCCAGTCTCAAAGGAAAGCATTCTCAATGCTTTCCTATGGACCCTGGCGTCTTTTCACTGTGAAAATCAATGAGACAGCCACTAGAGGCTGGATTAACCCATAGGTAAACATAGCAGTTTATCTAAAAGGGTTAATCCTAGATGGACCAGGCACCCAGGCCACTTCATTAAGCTGAAGTGGTCTGGGTGCCTATAGTGGTCCTTTAATGTAGATAAAGTGGTCTGGGTTCATATGGTGGTAGTATTTTCATGTAACTACTTATCTCCCACTGATCCATTATTTTTTATTTTTTTTTGATAACTAAATGGAATCCCATCCTTTCTTCCCCATGTGAGGATCCCCAAGGCAACTGCAGTCCATCAGTTAATGTTTTAAGCCAATGGATGCCATCCAGAATTTGGCAACATTTTTGTGTTTGGAGCATGAAATGCAAAATCTGGACATTGTTAAATTGTGTTTAATGTCTGGATTTTGCAGTCCAACTGGCCCCACATGAAACAAGGTTATTTGGATTTCAGTAAAGACCTGGCAATATAGCAATGTAAGAGTTGGTAAGTAATACAAAATTTCTTCAGATATTAGTAGTGACTGTATGCTGTTTGTAAATTAATTTTGGTCTATGTATGCTTAATACGGATATTTTAGGCGATTATTTGTGGTGCCTTCTAGTTGCTTTTCTGCTCTTACAGTATACAGATAATTTTAGAATATTTCTATTTATTTTTAAAATGTTTCATTATTTGCACTTTTTAGTTACAGCTGTGCAGTTTCAATAGTTCAGTGATTATCATAAAATATGCCCTGCATCATCATTAAAACCAGTCAGGATGACACAAGACCCTGCACAATGCTTATATGAGCAGAAACATAGAATGCCCTGTTCTGCTTGCACATCCGCTGGCATCGTTTTCACATTGGTGCATGCATACATTTATACTGACTGGCACAGGATGGTGATGTCTGTAATCTGGCATATTGAAACTCTGTTGATTACCAGACAGTGATGGTTTCTCATTCCCATTGGTGTGCCTTGAGTTCCAGTGATTTGGATTTATTTACCCATTTTTCATTCACTTTACCCAGTCCTCTAGTTAAATTATGTCCAGCTTCTTTAAAGACCAGTGATACACCTTCAATTCTTTACTTGCTTATAATGTGTCTTGTAGAAAACTGTCCTATGCTATAGTAAAGGATTTTGGATATGCAGTATCCTGCCTTCTTGACATGAATTGAAACCATACCATTTGGAATACACATCTATATTCCTAACACTTTTTAGTACTTCCATCCCTAGTTGTATTATGGTGCCACTCCTTCGTCATTTGCCATAAAAATAAAGAAAATAAAAGTTTAGCTTCCCACAACATCATTGATGAGGCATGGCCTCCTCCGAGAACGTTCCAAAAGAAATTGCACACATTCAGTTTCCCTCATAGGCAAGCATTGTATTTAATGCTTTCCAATCTGCTTCCCCCTCACCATTTGAGGGTGTTTGTTTTTTTTTTGTTTTTGTTTTTTTTTTTTTAGTATGACAGACCATAGAGGTGGATTTTTAACCCTGCAATGTATAAAATGCAGTTTAAAAAAAACAACAAAGTTTCATATTGCAGTGTTAAAAGTACTTGGATGTCTATAGTGTCCTCTTTAAAGAGGCTCACTCACCTTCCTCACCCCTTTTTCCCCCCTCTACCAGACAGCCACTAGACTAGAGGGACTTCCGGGTGGATAAGCGACACTTGGTTTGCCTAAACGACGCTATGCATGAGGACTTCCAGCGTCACCGGAATCCCCATAGGAATGCATTGACCGTTTGGGAAGCTATAGTGCCAGGACAACAGGTTTGTTTTCCTGGCACTATAGTTTCCCTTTAAAGATAAGTCTTGTAGGATCCACCATAGATATCAGTATTGTACTCTTGAGCGTGTGCAAGAGTACAACACTAATATGGAATCCTGGCAGATGAAGCGCCAGTAGCCTGAATAGGATTCCCTGGATGGACATGGTGTCGCTATTAGGGGCAGCTTTAGGTAAGTTAAAACCTCTCTTCCGCTTCACCTGGGCCATTGCCCATCACCATTGGGGTCTTTCCAAATATACAAAGACCCCAGATTATGACAGAGATGCTTTAAAGGGACACCACAGAAACCCAGACCACTCAATCTCATTGCAAATTTACCATTAAAGGACCACTATAGGCACCCAGACCACTTCAGCTTAATAAAGTGGTCTGGGTGCCAGGTCCCTCTAGGATTAACCCTGCCTGCTGTAAACATTGCTATGTTTACAAATGGGTTAATCCAGCCTCTAGTGGCTCTCATTGACAGCCGCTAGAGGCGCTTCCGCGCTTCTCACTGTGATTTTCACAGTGAGAAGACTCTGACTATAGGAAAGCATTGAGAATGCTTTCCTATGGACTGACTGCACGCGCGTTCAGCCAATGACGGCCAAAGGATGAGGAGAGTCCTCAGCGCAGAGGGAGCCCGGCGCTGGAGAAAGGTGAGTTTTAACACCCTTCAGCCCGGCGGGAGGGGGGCCATGAGGGTGGGGGCACCCTCAGGGCACTATAGTGCCAGGAAAATTAGTTTGTTTTCCTGGCACTATAGTGGTCCTTTAATGACAACTCTATGTACACTATCTTTAAGCCTGTGTTCTACCTAAGAACAAGAATTTTCATCTAGCCCAGTTTATGTTAGGGTGAACACTTACCTATTTGAACTGTATAACATGCCTCCAAGTACTTCACATCCACTGCTACACCCTGTGCTGCTATTTTCTTCATTGCAGATTGCCATTAGTTTGACATGATCTGTTTCATAAATCCATTCAGTTCTCATCCAAATGTATTCCTGAATATTGTCCTTTTATACCTGACATGCTCGTTTTCCTGGCTCTATAGGGTCCTTGGGACTCCCTCACCTGCCGGGCTCTAAGGTGAGGAAGGGGTTAATCCCCTACCTTTTTTCCAGCGCCAGGCTCCCTCGGCGCTGGGGACTCTCCTCCTCCTTTCCCCGTCATCGGCTGAATGCGCATGCGCGGCACCAGCCGTGCACGCATTCAGCCAGTCTCATAGGAAAGCATTCTCAATGCTTTCCTATGGACGCTGCAGTCTTCTCACTGTGAAAATCATAGTGAGAAGCGCCTCTAGCGGCTGTCAATGAGACCCACTAGAGGCTGGATTAACCCTAATGTAAACATAGCAGAAAGAAAGGGTTAATCCTAGAGGGACCTGGCACCCAGACCACTTCATTAAGCTGAAGTGGTCTGGGTGCCTATAGTGGTTCTTTAACAACAGCCTGAAGTGAATGATTCTACTCACCACAACATGCAATAAGCTGTAGTTGTTCTGGTGAATATATTGTGTCCCTTTAAAAACCCTTTCTCAGCCACAGAAGTGAAAGGATTACGCCGACCACCATTACCACATCTGCTTT